AGAGAGTTTGTCATTAAAACTGACCATGAATCCTTGAAGTACTTGAAGAGTCAAGGTAAGCTTAGTAGGAGGCATGCTAAGTGGATTGAATTCATTGAAACTTTTCCTTATGTAATTTCTTACAAAAAAGGGAAAGAGAATGTTGTTGCTGATTCACTTTCAAGAAGGTATGTCTTAGTTACTACTTTGATCTCTAAATTGATGGGTTTTGATCAAATCAAGGGACTTTATGCTAATGATGTTGATTTTGGCAAGATTTTTGCAGATTGTAAGTTGAGTCCTTTTGAGAGGTTTAATCTTCAAGATGGGTTTCTTTTTAAGGAAAATAAGTTGTGTATTCCTAATTGCTCTTTACGTGAAGTATTTGTAAGGAAAGCACATTGTGGAGGCCTTATGGGTCACTTTGGAGTCCTGAAGACACTAGACATACTTGCTGAAAATTTCTATTGGCCTGACATGAGAAAAGATGTTGAAAGAGTGTATACACAATGTTTGGAATGTAGACAAGCTAAATATAAAGTGTTACCACATGGTCTTTACACGCCATTACCTGTTCCTACTTCACCTTGGATTGATATTTCTACGAATTTTGTGTTAGGTTTGCCTAGAACAAGGTATGGTAATGATGGTATATTTATTGTGGTAGATAGGTTCTCCAAAATGGCTCGTTTTATTCCTTGTTTAAAGACTAATGATGCTTCACATGTTGTTGATCTATTTGTAAAAGAAGTTGTTAAATTGCATGGTATACCTAGAACTATTGTTACTTGTTAGTGACAGGGATGCTAAGTTTTTGAGCCACTTTTGACGTGTATTTTGGGGGAAGTTATGCACTAAATTGTTGTTTACTACTTCTTGTCACCCACAAACTGATGGACAAACTTAACTAGTTAATAGAACCGTAGGAAACATATTGAGGGTTGTTTTGTGAGGTAAATTAACTTCTTGGGAAGATCACTTACCTATGATTGAATTTGCTTACAATAGAACAATCCATTCTTCTACAGGTATGTCTCCTTTTGAGGTTGTTTATGGTTTTAATCCCTTTACTCCCCTTGATATATTACCATTACCTACTAATGATATTGCTAATCTTGATGGTAGGACAAAGGCTGAAATGATGAAAAAAATTCATGAGCAAACAAGGCTTGCAATTGAGAAGAAAAATGAGCAAACTGCCTTGAGAAAGAATAAGGGCCGAAAACAAGTTGTTTTTCAACCTGAAGATTTAGTTTGGGTTCACTTTAGGAAGGAGATATTTCCTTCCAAAAGGAAGTCAAAGTTGCATCCTAGAGGAGATGGCTCATTTCAAGTCCTTGAAAGGATTGGAGAAAATGCTTACAAGTTGGACCTTCCTCGTGAGTTTCAAGTAAGTGCTACATTCAATGTTGCTGACTTGTCTTTGTTTGATGTAGGATCGAATTCGGGGATAAATTATTTTCAAGAAGAGGGGAATGATAACATCAAGGACAATGATAGAGTTTTGGAATCTCCAAGAAGGCCATTTACAAGATCTCAAGCTAAAGAATTGCAGACTAAGGTTGCTGGATTTCAATGGCAAATAAAGAAGCTTTTAATTGTAAAGGAAGAGATCAAGCCCAAAGGAGATGAATTGTCCAAGTTATACAATTATTTGGCGGCCCAAATTAAAGTCCAAGAGGAGGAAGATTGGCTTCCAATATCAGCCCTTGAAGTCCACCAAAAGGGCATCCGGAAGAGCTTAAAATGAGCTTAAAAGAGGTCCGAAAGGGGGTGTTTCAAAAGGAGCCCAATTAGAGTCCAACCCAATGACCCAAACTAGTAGTTTTAAGTCCCAACTCTGCTCCTAAGGGATTTGGCCGCCCACCCTCTTATTTTTATTAGCTTTTATTAGGTTTTCTAGTATTTAGCTTAGCCTCCAAATTAGGGTTTGCCTTGGCAGCCACCCTACCTAGTTTTAAGGATTTTTTACTCCTATAAATAGGAGTTATTTTCATTCACTGTGGTACTTCATTATTGATTAATAATATTATGCTTTGAGAGTTCTTTTGAACCTTTGTTACTTATGCTTTGAGATTTATCTTTCAACATTTACTAGTTCATAGTTCAAGGTAGTAAGATAACTTCTTTGTTGTGATATCATTGATTCCTTTGTGGTATTCTTAGAAGGCGATTAATACTAATTATTAATTGTTGTCTCAAGTTACTCGTAAAGCAGTCAAGATCCGAATCTATTGTTTCTGATTTGTTCTTAAGTAAAGGCATTTGATTTCTTCAATAAATCAAAACGTTGTTGCTTGGTTCTTGTCAAGGCTATAGAACTTGTGTTCTTGGAATTCTTGAATTTTCCCATATCCTTTATTTTCTGCACTTTAATTCTAGTCGTTTAATTTTCGTATTATTATTGCTTCCGCATTTATTTCTTGAATTCTTACTCTAGTTTGGATTCCCGACCCTGCTGCTATCAATAACTCTCGAAACGATCGGCTGGATCGTTACATTATAATAGTATATATTCATGTATATCAATGTTCACTTCCTCTAGGCATACTTTTTATCCATTGTCAATAACGATTTACAATGCAGTGACCAATTCTGTGCAGAGATAACAATACAGATTTCAACATTGATCCAAAAATCAAGAAAATCTTTTTGACAAAACTCGATGTAAAATGTTACAACATAAAATGATGAGAATTTACAACAACGATTCCCATAAATCACTTAAAATTTCAAAAAAATCTCCCTAGTACAGATGCAGGAATACAACCAAATAGCAAAGGATGAAGAGGAGGAGGCAGGGGGGGGGGGGTCATTGAATAAAGTTTGGGGAGAGAGATGGAAAGAAATCCGTATGAAAAAAGATAGTAGAGAGGGAATACCAATTTTATGAAACTACTTTCACGGTGGCTACATATTTGCATTTTTTAGGTTAAAATGTCAATATAGGCTACCAGATGCCATTAATTGAAGATTGGGCCATTCTATGCCATTTTGTTGGCTCAATTGTCATGGGGTGTCAATTTTCCTTTTGAATTTCACCCAAATTAATAAGTTACTTATGGGGATTTGTATCTATACCCAGTTTTTGGGTCACAATTTAACTTATACCCGCTTTACAAAAAAATTGCAAGCGTACCCATTTTTCGGGTAACTTCAGACATAAGGGGGCATGAAGTAGCAAGAATTTATGTCTGAAGTTTGAACTTCAGGATTTTTGGCCTGAAGTGTGACCTTATCAAAGTAAAACTTCAAACATTTTCGTCTGAAGTTTGGCCTCACTTGTAAAAGCAATCAAAAACTTCAGTTCGTAGTGCAAACTTCAGACAAATTAGTCTGAAGTTCTTCAGTTTGTGCAAACTTCAGACAAAATCAGCTTGTTATATTTGAACTTCAGATAATTTTTCCTGGCATGATACTTGCAAACTTCATATAAAATTTAACCCGGTAATGTCTGAAGTTTGGCCCTGCAGTCCCAAACTTCAGTTGATGCTTCTTCGAGTTTTGACGATAAACTCTTATTTTATTATTTACGTACTTTGTGTTGGGATGTATTAAAGTATGAGAGGCAGTGGCAAGTCTTTCTTTCTTCTTGATTTATCGCTTTGTCCAATTTAACATGTGTAACTTACAGGATAACATGTTTGAGAGAGAAAAGAAGAAGAGGAAGGAAAGAAGAGGAGGAAGAAAGGAGCGCATAGGTCGCAGGATCTGAAGTTATCAAAATTAGGATATAGATTAAATAATTTTAAAAATATGGGTATAGGTTAAACGGGGACGACCAATAGGGCTCCCCATGCAATTTTTACATTACTTATAAATCATTCGGCCCATTAATCAGAACGCTATTTTTTCCACTGGGCTTTAGCCCATTTCTCTAAGGGGAAAGTGCACGCTTAGCCACTAATAACACATGTATTTACTTTTAAGCCACTGTTTAAAATGTCTTTAGTCTTTATCCACTGCTTTAATGAACTTTAACTGCCCGGACAAAAATACCCTTCTGCTCATGTCCTTAACTTTTGAACTTAACTTCAGGACTACAAGTCCTTAACTTTTGAACTTGGAACTCTAACTTCAGGACTACATGTCCTTAACTTTTGAACTTAACTTCGGGACTTTAGGACTACATGTCCTTAACTTTTGAACTTAACTTCAGGACTTCAGGACTACATGTCCTTAACTTTTGAACTTAACTTCAGGACTTCAGGACTACATGTCCTTAACTTTTGAACTTGTAACTGTAAGTTCAGGACCAAGTGTCCTTAACTTTTGAGCTTGTTAGTCTAAGTTCAGGACCTATTGTCCTTAACTTTTGGGCTTTTTAGTCTAAGTTCAGGACCTATTGTCCTTAACTTTTAAGCTTGTTAGTCTAAGTTCAGGACTTCAGGACCTATTGTCATTAACTTTTGAACTTGTAACTGTAAGTTCAGGACCTATTGTCCTTAACTTTTGTCCAGAAGTTAAGGACATTTCAAAAACGTTTGTCCGAGAATTTCATATAGCATAATAAATAACGAGAAGAAGGTGAAAAATAGAGTAACAAACTGATGGTAAAGTTCACGGGACAAGGCATGATTCCCATGTAAAAGAGAAAACATATATCTGGAAACAATGACAGATTTTGCTTTTAGTAATAATTTTGCCGACGTTGGTCTCGTCGATCAGGTCATTCAATTCAACAAAGAATGGCGTCAGCGTAATCCATCTCTCCTTCTCTGTTTTTCACTTAGTACTTCAAGATCTAGAATTTTTCCCTGTAAACTTTTTGTGTGTCATTCTGCTTCTTCGTTTTTCAATTTGTTGTATAATGTTTTTTCATATTAATTTTAATAAAGTAGTGGCTATTTTTGCTCAGCATTAAAAATACTGGATAAAAAATAAATACCACTTTAAAACTATTTCTACTTTCTCTAATGCACCGTTTCGTACTAGTTTCAACCAATACGTATATATTTCTTGATTATTTTTTTTCACATCGCTTTTGCCAAAAAAAAAAAAATACACATCAAAATAATTCCCCAAACATCTGTACCCCCCCCCCCCCCAGCCCACACAAAATCCCTAATTCTGCGATCGGAAATCCCCAATTCACCGGCGTTGCAATGTCGACGGTGCCTTCGACGTCCGCGGCAGCTAATTCATCGTCGTCGCAGTACTCTTACTCAAACGGCACATACTTTCCGACGCCGTTTCATCTCCAACAACAACCTCCTCCTCAGCCCTACATCGGCGCTGCTCCTCCCCCCGTACAACTTCCTGGTCCTTCCGTCTATCCTGCTCCTGCTCCTATTCCGGGCGTTTACACTTTGCCTCAGTTTCAACAAGTAAATGCTCCAAATGTTAATTGCAAAAAAAGGAAGAAATAGGAAAATTATGAACTTTTATTTCTGAATTTCGGTCTTTGTATGCTGTAACGACGGGCGAAATTGCAATTGGTTGTTAATTCTTACATTTTGATTTCGTTGGAGTCACGCTAATGTCCATAGAAATTTTAATTGATTAATAACTTGTGGAGTAAGTAATTATGTAAGTCACTTGTTTTTCATTTTTGCTCCCTTTTCTAGTTATTTTTGAAAAATGTATGAGAATTTGGCGGGTATTTTGTAAAATCTTTCCTGGGAAGTTGTTGAGAGTATTTTTTTTTATAGAGTTTAGTAAGTTATATACATTACACTATCAGGTCACCTAAAGTATATCTACAAGTAAGCCTCCATAAAATAGGGCAGGTTAGCTGCTGCCACAATAGGTAAATGTGACTTGACAGTATAAATTTTTGTTACACTGACAGTATATAGAGCTTAAAATCCTTTTTATAAGGGTGGTGCCTGGGACAGCTTGCTTGCTGAGAATATCTGCGCCTATGTTAGTGTGTATTTGCATGGTAAAATATCATGACGCCAATTAGAAGCTTGTTAGTTTCGTTTTGGGAGGAGAACAGAAGAAAATCTCAATAGAAGTATTTGCACCAGGCCTTTGTACATATGTTACTTTGTATGTTAAGCTAGTGGCTTGTATTGAAAAAAGAAGGTATGTTTTGTCATGTTTGTAATGTACGTAATACTTGCGGACAGGCTCAGCAGTTATTCCAAAGAGATGCTCAGACAATCACACCTGAGGCACTTGAAAATGTGAAAGCTGCACTTGCAAGCAGCGAAATTGAGCACAAAGCTGAGGCCAAGAAGAAAGCTGTACCTCGTAAGGCAGCAGGACTAAGTTGGGAAGATCCTACTCTAGCAGAGTGGCCAGAGAGTAAGCATAATTTCCTTTTTCTTTATTTTTTCCTTGACTCGCTGTGCCTCATGGTACTAAAATCTGTTTATTTATTCTTCTGTTTTTTTTTTTTTTTGGGTGGGGGGAGGGGGGTTCTCTAGTTCTCTCTCCTCATAGTCTTTGATAGTTTTAACATCAGTTGAACTGGATTCTATCTTGAACTGAATTTCCACTAAAAAGTAAGTAAAAGTAATCAGTTATATTTCTTATTATAATCAAAAGTTAACAGTTATATTTGATTTTCAAAATGGATTCAGCTTTTCCTTCGAAACGTTTCCTATTAGAGTATGTTACCATATATACAAGGTTCAACTATAAAATATGATATTGTGTATAAGGTAATGTAGCTTGTCAGAGTAGGCGAACAATGCGTATATAAGGAGCTAATATTTATTAAGTGTCAAGGAAGTAATTTTATCTCCTCTTTTCTCTCTGCTTATTGTTTTTAGGTCGAGTACTATTCTTGAATTTTCTTGATGCACTCTCGTTTTAACATTGGAACTTTGGCGCAGAGTATGAGGAGACTCACTGAGTGAATAGGTGAATAACAGATTGGAAGGGACAAGAAATGGTGGTGAATACTGACATGATTGAAGCTGAAATCCAGGGTTAATTGTAGTTAACATGGTTATGACATATAATTGAAAAGTTTAGGATGAATTAGCCTATCTTGAATGCATAACCAATTACTAGATGCCTATAATGAGTGTTTATAAAAGGGTTTTAACTTTCTGAATAAACCAGTGCGGCTGAAAGAAGCATGAATAGCAAGTAAATATACTATATGAATTTGTCTTACTTAAGTTATGGGGCGTTTTGTGTCTTGTCTATCTAAATGCACTTCTTTTTCTGGAGGTGTTTAGAGAAGAGAATGTGCAGGAGAAAACCTGTGAGGTAATCTATCTGATCTTACATGTTTGAATATTATGCTTTACTGGCCCACTTTCATGGATTGTGGTCTTGCAAGTGATATCATTTTTTTACCAAATTATCTTTTGCTGCTGGTTTTCTGGTTACTTCCTTCCATGATGGCTGTTTGCACTTGTTTTCCTGTGGTTATTGTGTCTTTTGCTGTTACAATTGGTGCAAATCCTAGCACAGTGGAATAACTAAGTTTCCTTTTTGTATGGTGTCACAGATGATTATCGTCTATTCTGTGGTGATCTTGGGAATGAGGTGAATGATGATGTCCTATCAAAAGCCTTTTCAAGGTTTCCAACCTTTAACATGGCTAAGGTAAGCTCTATTAGATCATTTACTTTCTTTCAATAATCTTACATTTTTATGTATACATGAGCACTGGTATTTCTGGTCATGAAGGGAGAGATTTTGGTCCCCTAGAAGTTTAATTATTTTCTTCTTTTTTAATATCATATTTCTGCTTCCTGGACATTCCCGAATCTTAAAAAAGCTAGAAATCTTTATAAATGCATCGACTATTGATAGTCTGTATATGTCTATAGTGGTATGCGTGCATCGAGTTTTGAGATAGACTTCTCCTCACTTTTGACTGCTTTCAAATTGGAGTTCAATAATTTTCAATGATTGAAAATTGAAGAGAATATATTAGTAGTGTCACTGTAGGACCAATATTCCTCAAGTTGTATGTTTTTTTTTGTGTGTGTATTCTTATTTGGTTATCCCTTTTTTGGTGGGGTACACCGAATACATGGATGGTGACTTAGTTCTGTATGTGCTTGCGTGTATTTGCATAAAATGAAGAACATAAGGAGCATCTAAATGAGAAGACTCTAGATTGGTGGCATCTAATTGGGAAGATTGTAATGGTGGTGAACTGGTGATACCTTACCTCGAAGTCTAATTGTAATTTGTTTAATGCCCAAAACTGCAGTAGTTAATGCGTTATAAAAAAGTGTAGCTTAGTTATATTTCAAGATCCATCATGCTGATGTTATTATAATTCCTTTCTTTCTGCCTTGATCTGAAAAGATTAGAAAAAAATGAAGTATTTTATATTCGCCTTGCTCTCTTCGAATTTTGTTGTATAATTGTATGTTGTAGCTTGTAAGGTTCAGTAACAAAGGGATTCTGCAATGCATGTTGACAGGTTGTGAGAGACAAGCGGACTGGTAAAACCAAGGGATATGGATTTGTGAGTTTTTCCAACCCACTAGACCTTGCGGCAGCACTTAAAGAAATGAACGGTAAGCTATCTGTTAATCAAGATATGAATGTGTAGTTTCTTATTGTGCTTAAGGTACACTGGCGTAATCAATATATTAAATGACACAACTTGATAAAAGTGGGTCTGTCACTGCTAGGTGATCAGCTTTTACCTTCTTGAAGACCACTGCTTATAAATGGTATGGATGGTAGCTTTCAGTTGGATCTAACATTTTCCTAGATATACCATTTGGTTGATGCCATGTGTGGGTTTCTTTGGTCCCCCCTTTTTTGATGTCTTCATGTCAAATGATAGTGTTGATAGAGTGTCCTCTACGGGCCCCTGGTTTTTTATTTGAATGTATAATTGCCCTCCCCTAGTCCCCTCTCCTCTCTAAATAAATAAATAAAAAGGAATGGTCAAGGAAACAAGGAACAGAACTTTACTGGAAAGAAGATTTAGTACTGCTTCTGAAGTCGGTTTAGGCAAAGAAAAAAAAGGTTAAGAAAAGACAACATCAACCAAACCTGTATGAGAGAATTTCAGAAGTTTGGTTTCTTGTGGAGTTCGCAAAATGGGGATACATGAATGTTTGATGTGGCAGTTGTTTTAGTTATTGCATTGGTAATGATAATATTACACCCAGATGCCTAATAAGGTGGTAATTCATGTTTGATTTCAGGGAAGTATGTTGGAAACCGGCCGATCAAACTTCGCAAGAGTAAGTGGCAAGAGAGGATTGACTACGAAGCTCTGGAAAGTTCGAAGGTGAGGGTTTTTGCATGGCGATTGGCCTACTTATAATATTACATCTTGATAGTTGGCACTATCTAACTTCTACTTATCAAAATGGCATTAACTGACTTCTTTTTTGTGGATGTTGGATCTTGTGGCAGAACCGATCACATAAGAAACCAAAGCTAACAAAGAAGAGTATATTGCACAAGTGAGCGCCAACCATGATAATGGCTCAAGCGTCAAGATACTTGAGACGTATTTTAAATGTGTCTTAATCAATTTCTTCACCATTGTTGCTGTCCGAGAAAGCAGGGACAAATGACAGTCCTAGGACACAAATACTATTTGAACCTCTGCAATTTGTTATTTACAATGCTGTATCCATCAGTTGCTGGTTAATGTATTTCTTCCTCCTTTTAAGAGCCTCTAGGAGAGTTCTGAATGATGGAATCCTTTTGGCAACCATAGATTGGTGGATGGGGAAACTGTTGTAGTTTGGAAACTTTGGTTCGTTCAGAAGATAAATTGCAGTTTCATACTTTCATTAATGTATCAGTTGAATTGAAGGATGATGAATGTATGGTCCAATGTTTGTGCAATTAATCAACTGAAAACAACTCTTGCCAGATATAATGCCTAATATAGATGTCAATGGATAATTAAAAATTATTTTTAGGTTTCTTAAAATCGTAGGTTTTTATATAAATTTATAATTGCATCGATAATTAGGGTAGACCGAAAAAATATCGAACCATACCGAATAAATTTACATGTGAAAAACATATTTATATATTAAGTTTAAAAAAGCATTAAATTTCTCTTGGGCCTTGGAATTATGAAAAATAGTTACAAGCCAACAAGTAATTAAACTCAAAATCCTAATTTCCAAACTTATTATGCCACTCCTATTGAAACTAAATTATTTCCATCATATTCACTAGCAAGACAAAGTATTCTAGCGATTATTAGTAGCAAATTACAATGTATTGAATATGTTTCCTTTCGTATGATTTAGATTTTTTTTTTTTGAATATTTAATCTGCTTTAGACTTTATTCTTGAGTCCCAACTTGGTTTATATCTTTCCACTCGTGTGATTTATATTTTGTTTTAATCTTTGCTTAGTTCTTTTTACGTTGATGTAAAATAGTTAATGGATCTATACTCTCTGGCCATCTTTCATATTTTCTTAATTCATCACCCTTTAAACAATAAAAATGCCTAGAGAGTTTTGCTAAGTCCTATAAAAGTATGTATGTTATTGCACTCTACTTGTACTAGTGACTTTTACATGAAATTTACAAAAATACCAAAAATTGAGCAAACCGTGCCGATAACGAAGAGAAACCGACATTTGAAAAGTCTAATTTTAGTTATACACAATAGAATAACCGAAAAATTAATATGGTATAAACTTTAAAAAATAACCGGCCGAACCGAGCCGTTGACACCCTACCGACGATGACTAAGTTTTAATCCCAGTTGTGGTTCTTTTGCCTCCGTTTTGTTTTGTTTAAACTCCCATAGAGTTTGAAAGATGGTGGCTTTTTTATACAATTTTCATTCATGCGATTGTACGTCTACCTCATCATGTTTCTGTTAGGGATATAGTAGATATGTCCTAGATTCAATATCATATTTGATGATTTGAACATATTTTTGTGAACGTTATTTGATATAAAAATATATGGCATCTGATATTCTTTTTTCAAAGTTATTATTAATTGTTTGATTAACTTGATAAGGTCCTTGATTAAATCTTGAGACTTGCCATCATGATGGAGATCATGATAATGAGAGTAAAGTTTCTTATAATTTAATCTAAATTTTGTCTAGATCGTAGGATTATTAATTTGGACATTAGTAATCCGGTTAGGTCAATATTTATGTGATTGTCTTTATGGGATAAAAATTAGTTGATCTCATTAATTAAATCACATAGATAGATGATGCATATAGAGATATGATCATTGATCCAACTCATTAGATAATTCCTAATTGTTAGAATTACCATAAACTGTCAATAGGATATTCTCTTGAAGAATATAATGTAAGAGTCTCCTTTGACCCGAGATCATCATAGTAATTGACAAGTTATTTAACCTATGGACCTAAGGCGATAGTTGAAAGGATATTGGGTACGATTAAATACTTGTAGAATTAGTGATTGATCAAGATAGAATCTGTCAACTCTTGGTAATGAGTTTAAGCTCCATGTTGTCATGAATTATATACGACCAAACTAAGACCTTGGCCAGGGCAATTGAACGAAAGAAGAAAAGAGCTTCTTAGGTCATTCAATGGTCAATTATATTTGACATGATCACATAGTTGGCCGCCTATTAGGATTTGACAATTAAACCATATCCTAGGGTAACTCAGAGCTATAAGGACAGAAGGAATTACTACACTATTCTTCTACTGGTTCTTGAGAGTAAATTGTATACTTCATTCTATCCGATCGTTAAAGAGTGTTGCTAGACGCCACAGTTGATTAGTATATTAATACGATTAATTTACTACCGATTTAGTATTGAACCTATGGGGTAGCACACTAACGAGTGTTCTGATCTTTGCTAAAGGATTAATTACTGTATTATTTGATAATTAAATTAAAGAATTTAATTAGTCAAATATATTTAGTTATTAGTCCAAATGAAATATTATTATATTCTTTGCTAGCACATATGATATAATTAATATTGTGAACAAATTGAAGTTTTCTATTTGGAATATAAAATTAAATTATATCTTTGGTTAAAATATGTATATGTGATATACATAATTAGTACTTATTTTATATAAGATATGTGTTATTTGTGGCTTGAATTATTTTCTTGCATTTTTAGGAAACCCATAGTCCCTATAGGTTTAGGAAAACTCATTGTCCTAATAGATTTGGGAAAGGAAAACCTATAGTCCTTGTCAAATTGGGAAACCTTTCTCATATATGTTTGGGACCTTTTGGGATCTATGTATAGGGGTTGTAGTTGGGGATCCTTGAGATTGTATTGTGCTTTTCTTCTCATTCATAGTGGAAAACTCTCTCTGCTTTTGCCCCGAGAATTAGGCTTAGCCGAACCTCGTTAAATCCTTGTGTTGATTTTTCTTCTCTATTTGCTTTGTATGTGATTGTGTGCTAGTTAACCCACGATATTCCGCAATAATTGGTATCGGAGCAAGGTTCGTTTCTCCATATAATCTAGGGTTAAGATGTCTTCATCATCTTCAACAAAGTACGAAGTAGAGAAATTTGACAGAGGTTCTAGTTTCAGTCTATGGAAGATTAGGATGAAATCGTCCCTAGTGTTACAAGGATTATGGAAAGCAATTGATGAGGATTTTCATGAAGATATGAAAGAGACAAAGAAGGAAGACCTGAAGGAGAGGGCTTTGAGTGCGATCTTCATGAGCGTTACAGATAGCGTTCTTCGGGAAATTGCTGAAGAAACTTCTGCAGCAACGGCATGGAAGAAGCTGGAAGATCTGTATTCTAAGAAATCGCTGACAAACCGCCTCTACCTGAAAAAGAGGTTATACAATCTCCGTATGAACGAAGGTACACCTGTTAAAACTCACCTTGATGAGTTTAATTCAATTATAATGGACCTGAAGAATGTGGATATCAAAATTGAGAGTGAGGATCAGGCATTGATTGTGTTATGTTCTTTACCACAGTCTTATGATACTTTTGTCGATTCACTGCTATATGGGAAAGACATCATTTCACTAGAAGATGTTAGTAATGCACTAAAATCTAAAGAGTTGAAAAAGAGCTTTCCAGACAGCAGAATTTGAGGGCGAGGGTCTTGTGATTAGAGGAAGAACACAACAAAAGGACTTTAACAGGAAAAAGTACCGCAAGATCAAAGTCTAGAGCAAGGAAGCAACACTGTTATGAGTGCGGGGAGCAAGGTCACTACAAGAGAGATTGTCCTAAGCTAAAGGAGAAAAGAGGGAAGCAGAAAATAGATAATTCGGCAAATATTGTTAACACTGGAAATAATTCTGATGATAGCGACTATGTAAGGGAAGTTTGTGTTGTGAGTTCTAGTCATGGGCAAAATTCTTGGGTTCTTGATTCTGGTGCTACTTTCCACATGTGTCCACACAAGAATTGGTTTGCAACTTACAAATAAATGAGTGGGACTGTCTATATGGGAGATGATAATCCATTACCAGTAGAGGGGGTTGGTAACATCAAATTGAGAATGTTCGACGGAATTATCAGAAACTTTGAGTGTTGGCATGTTCCTCGGGTAAAGAGAAATTTGATTTCTCTTTCGACTTTGGATGATCAAGGGTATAAATTTCACTCCGAGAATGGAATACTTAAAGTGTGTAAAGGCTCTATGGTACTCATGAAGGGTAAACTACATTCTAAATTGTATCATCTTCAGGCCAATGTAGTTGAAGGGGAAGCTGTTGTAGCTTCTGGAAAAAGTGATCTGAATCAGTCTCAGTTGTGGCACTTGCGACTTGGCCATATTAGTAAAAATGGATTGTCTTTGTTGAGTTAGCAGAATTTGCTGAATGGGTACAAAAATCAAGTTTTAAATTTTTGTGAGCATTGTGTGTTTTGTAAACAGACAAGGGTAAAGTTCATCAAGAAGGCCGAACACAAGACCAGAGACAAGTTAGATTATATACACTCTGACTTGTGGTGTCCAAACAGAGTTCCCTCTAAGAGTGGTGCCAGGTATTTTATGACTTTGATTGATGATTACTCAAGGATGGTGTGGGTGTATTTTCTGAAAACAAAACATGAGGCATTTTCGACATTTGTTAAATGGAAGACGATGGTTGAGAGGCAGACAGAAAGAAAAGTTAAGCGTCTTCGAACTGACAATGGGTTGAATTTTGCAATTTTGAGTTCGATAATTTCTGCAGCAGGGAGGGCATAGTGAGACACCGCACTTGTGTCGGAACACCACAATAAAATGGTATTGCAGAACGTATGAATAGAACGCTTTGTGATAGGGCACGAAGCATGCTTTCACACTCATGTGTTAGCAAAGATTTTTGGGCTGAAGCAATCAATACAGCTTGTTATTTGGTCAATAGATCTCCATCCACAACTATTGAGTTCAAAACTCCTTTTGAGATATGGTCCGGTTCGCCTGCTGATTATTCAAATTTAAGGATATTTGGTTGTCCTGCTTATGCTCATGTGAGGGATGGAAAACTTGAGTCAAGGGCAAAGAATTGCATATTTCTAGGGTATGCAACTGGAGTGAAAGGTTATAGGTTGTGGTGCACAGATCAAAAGACTCCAGGGCTAATTATCAGTAGGGATGTAACATTCAACGAATCTGCCTCACTGGACAGTCAGTGGGAGAAGGCAATAGCAGAAACAGATCGTGGTGTCAGTGACCGCATAGAGCTAGAAATTGAATCTCCACTAGCTCAGCCCAGTAGTTCTAAAGTAGAGGAAGTGGAGGAGGTGCAAAATATTGATCAACCGACCGCAAAGGTTGATAAAGTAGAGGAAGTGGAGGAGGTCCAAGAAGATAATGTTGATGCACCTGCGCAACAACCCTATAGTATTGCAACAGGCAGAGAGAAGAGAGTGATCAACCGACCGCAAAGGTTTGCAAACAT